CGTCCTAAAGTGCTCGTTAATCCATTACTCTATCTCAAGTATCATTACCGTAAAATTAGCTCTCTGCGCCTCCAAATTTTCTTTTCTTGTTACAATTAGTTCTACCGTTCTACTGGGCCGATTTTCATAATTTTTGCGGCTGGCGACTGAAGAAATCAGGCCCCAAACGAGCCCGCTCTATTCAAGTTTTGGAAATATGACCCGGGCATATTCAAATTACGTATTAAATTTGTGAATTCTCCAATTTATTTCAACAGTAAATGTTCATTTTTGTCACAATTCGATTTGAAGATCTACTAGAGAAATTTTCATGATTTTTGCGACTATCGACTGGAGATAATTTCTACATGAGCCCGTTCTGTTTGGATCAACTCACGGGAATTCGCGAAGCGACCTCTGGGGGATGGGCAACGTAGCGACCAGGGGGCGTAGCCTCCTAAAGCTCCTCTATTCTCTCACATCCGCACATCAATAACTCAATGTCAGGCTTTTGGACTAAGATTCCTCCACTACAGTGGCGCGAAGGAAGAACGCCGTATGAACATTGGAGGGTTGCCAAATTTCCTTCGATACGATGTTTATTTTTGAGAGAAGTTGTGAACAGTTTTCCTTGAAATTTTCCGGAACTTGAGGTGAAATCCCAAACAAAATTGAATGAAAAATTGGAAGAATGATAATCATAGTTTTTCCAAGAAATTCGTGTTCTATCAAAGGACATCTGGACCGCGTTAAACAGAAAGGAATCAAGCCACACCAGCTATTGCCAAATTTAATTGGGCAATTTGATTTTTTACATGAAAACGGTTGTGTGGATTTTCGTGCAAATTTCAGTGAAAATACTCCATAGTAAAGCAATACATTCCTTAAAAATATCAAAGGAATCCTCACAAGGAACTTTCAATGGATTCTCACAAGGAAACTCACGAGGAATTCTCTCGTAAAAAATTAAATTGCCCAGTTAAATTTTGCAATAGCTGATGTGGCTTGGTTCCTTTCTGTTAAACTCGGTCTATTCGGTAACGCCTGAAGGTTTATACGGCGTTTTTCCTTAGCACGGCAGTACAGGCGGTCGCAACTGCGGGCCGATTATTGAAATTGATAGACAAAACCATAGACAAAGAAGACATAGGGGGTATAAAGCAATCCTATTGGTTGAAATGGGTGGTTCTCATAGACAAAGGGGGAAAATGATAGATCAACTGTCGGGTCTCTCGTGGGTTGCCGTTAGTTAATCTATTACCTACCCCCTTTGTCCATTGCAACCACCCTATTTGACCAATAGGATCCCTCCAAATCCTTTTTGTCTGCTTTGTCTATTAATTTCAATAATCAGCCCGCAGGTTTTTCTCG